GATCAATCGCCATCGCATTCCTAGTGGATCACCAAACAATTCTGTAAAAAAATATATTTTTTTCTCGCTCCGGTTGGCGGTAGGTGCACTTGTTTCAGCAGCCCTATGTAACGAGTGTCAGTGTAATGCGGTGGATCGAAGTCAGGCGCAGGACACAGAACTCGAAGAAACTGTACTTTGCTGAAAATGAGTAAAGGAAAACAACACAGAAATACCTCCACACAGGAAGGAACTAACCCGCTCACCAACGACACACGAAAATGAAAAAACAACCACGCACAAAAGACATTGGGAGCCACTGGGTTAAATAGGAAAGGCGTGATTACAATAATGGGCAACAGGTGTGTGACAATCAGACAACAGGTGAAACATAGAAACAGAGAACATAGATCGGCAGAATCCGTGACACCCTAGCACCAAGGCAAAAGCATTCCCCATTTTTGAACCATTTCATGTGTCTGAAGGTAGAACTCTGCCTACCCGGCAGGCCCAGAGAGCAAATCAAGTGCACCTATAGGCCTACTGCTGGCCAATCAGATAGCTCAGATCACCGTGTCTGCACAGTCTCCTCGAGCCATAGGACTGTAAAAAAGAAACCTCGAACGCACAGCAAAGTTGATACTGTGAGATTTCAAAACGTTTAAAACTATGATTAGAGTGAGACTCAACGAATACAGCAAAGAAGACTGTGTCCCCCTTTTCTCAGCGGAGGGAGGGTGAGGGGAGGGAGGGGAGGGAGGGAGAGCGGAGGGACGGTGAGTCGGGTGAGAGGCAGCCTCAACGCTGCTCCCTCCCTCCCCTCCCTCCCCTCAGACTAACCATCAGATGCAGACCATCAGTCCAGTAAAAAATAAAAATACAAAAAAAAATATGCTCACTCACAAGTAATACAACAAATTATATATTACCAGTGTGATCATATAATTTTTTGAAATATATTTTCAAAATTGTCTGAGAAGAACATCATTGGCAGGGCAATTCAAGCGTAGCCAATATGCAGTCATAATGTATTGGGCCTATAGCCTACTGTACAAACCTCATTGCTACAGAACTGTTTTTAATTGGTTAATGTTGCATAAGCTTACGTTTTTTTAAGTCATGTTTTTTTTAAAAATTTTACCTGAGTGGTAGATCTCAGCTTGCATTTTGACTCAGAAAGTGATCTTTATTCAGAAAAGGTTGGTCTAAGGAACATCTAATTATATCAGTGTCGTGCTCCCATTTGAGCATATTCCCCTGTCTGTTATGCTAGTTAGGTCTCTGTCATTCCCCTGCCTGTCATGCTAGCTAGGTCTCTGTCATTCCCCTGTCTGTCATGCTAGCTAGGTCTCTGTCATTCCCCTGTCTGTTATGCTAGCTAGGTCTCTGTCATTCCCCTGCCTGTCATGCTAGCTAGGTCTCTGTCATTCCCCTGTCTGTCATGCTAGCTAGGTCTCTGTCATTCCCCTGTCTGTTATGCTAGCTAGGTCTCTGTCATTCCCCTGTCTGCCATGCTAGCTAGGTCTCTGTCATTCCCCTGCCTGTTATGCTAGCTAGGTCTCTGTCATTCCCCCTGTCTACCATGCTAGTTAGGTCTCTGTCATTCCCCTGTCTGTTATGCTAGCTAGGTCTCTGTCATTCCCCTGTCTGTTATGCTAGTTAGGTCTCTGTCATTCCCCTGTCTACCATGCTAGCTAGGTCTCTGTCATTCCCCTGTCTACCATGCTAGCTAGGTCTCTGTCATTCCCCCTGTCTGTTATGCTAGTTAGGTCTCTGTCATTCCCCTGTCTGTCATGCTAGCTAGGTCTCTGTCATTCCCCTGTCTGTTATGCTAGCTAGGTCTCTGTCATTCCCCTGTCTGTTATGCTAGCTAGGTCTCTGTCATTCCCCTGTCTGTTATGCTAGTTAGGTCTCTGTCATTCCCCTGTCTGTCATGCTAGCTAGGTCTCTGTCATTCCCCCTGTCTGTTATGCTAGCTAGGTCTCTGTCATTCCCCTGTCTGTTATGCTAGCTAGGTCGCTGTCATTCCCCTGTCTGTTATGCTAGCTAGGTCTCTGTCATTCCCCTGTCTGTTATGCTAGTTAGGTCTCTGTCATTCCCCTGTCTGTCATGCTAGCTAGGTCTCTGTCATTCCCCTGTCTGTCATGCTAGCTAGGTCTCTGTCATTCCCCTGTCTGTTATGCTAGTTAGGTCTCTGTCATTCCCCCTGTCTGCCATGCTAGCTAGGTCTCTGTCATTCCCCTGTCTGTTATGCTAGCTAGGTCTCTGTCATTCCCCTGTCTGCCATGCTAGCTAGGTCTCTGTCATTCCCCTGTCTGTTATGCTAGTTAGGTCTCTGTCATTCCCCCTGTCTGCCATGCTAGCTAGGTCTCTGTCATTCCCCTGTCTGTTATGCTAGCTAGGTCTCTGTCATTCCCCTGTCTGTCATGCTAGCTAGGTCTCTGTCATTCCCCCTGTCTGCCATGCTAGTTAGGTCTCTGTCATTCCCCCTGTCTGCCATGCTAGCTAGGTCTCTGTCATTCCCCTGTCTGTTATGCTAGCTAGGTCTCTGTCATTCCCCTGTCTGTCATGCTAGCTAGGTCTCTGTCATTCCCCCTGTCTGCCATGCTAGCTAGGTCTCTGTCATTCCCCTGTCTGTTATGCTAGCTAGGTCTCTGTCATTCCCCCTGTCTGTCATGCTAGTTAGGTCTCTGTCATTCCCCCTGTCTGTTATGCTAGCTAGGTCTCTGTCATTCCCCTGTCTGTTATGCTAGCTAGGTCTCTGTCATTCCCCTGTCTGTCATGCTAGTTAGGTCTCTGTCATTCCCCCTGTCTGTTATGCTAGCTAGGTCTCTGTCATTCCCCTGTCTGTTATGCTAGCTAGGTCTCTGTCATTCCCCCTGTCTGTTATGCTAGCTAGGTCTCTGTCATTCCCCTGTCTGTTATGCTAGCTAGGTCTCTGTCATTCCCCCTGTCTGTTATGCTAGCTAGGTCTCTGTCATTCCCCTGTCTGTTATGCTAGCTAGGTCTCTGTCATTCCCCTGTCTGTCATGCTAGCTGGGTCTCTGTCATTCCCCTGTCTGTTATGCTAGCTAGGTCTCTGTCATTCCCCCTGTCTGTCATGATAGCTAGGTCTCTGTCATTCCCCTGTCTGTCATGCTAGCTAGGTCTCTGTTATTCCCCTGTCTGTCATGATAGTTAGGTCTCTGTCATTCCCCTGTCTGTCATGATAGCTAGGTCTCTGTCATTCCCCTGTCTGCCATGATAGCTAGGTCTCTGTCATTCCCCTGCCTGTCATGCTAGCTAGGTCTCTGTCATTCCCCTGTCTGTCATGCTAGCTAGGTCTCTGTCATTCCCATGTCTGTCATGCTAGCTAGGTCTCTGTCATTCCCCTGTCTACCATGCTAGCTAGGTCTCTGTCATTCCCCCTGTCTGTTATGCTAGCTAGGTCTCTGTCATTCCCCCTGTCTGTTATGATAGCTATGGTCCAAGCTAGGTTTGACATTTATAGCCATGTCACTTTCCCATTTGAGCATGTTCCTTGTCTGCCATGCTAGTTGTGTCTCTGACATCTACATATTTGTCCATGGCAAGCAGATGACAGATGCTACTGCTCCTTTATCCATAGAAATAGAATGACTAGAATGGAAGTCCCTATTCAAGTCATTGAGGCCATGATAGGTGGACCGGTGTCCAGGAGGTACAGCAGGAAGTTTACTCATTAACCAAGGCACAATTATCCTGTCTGTCATGCTAGGTATGTTCCTGTCTATCATGCTAGGTGACAGATGTTAGCTACAGTCTTTATCAACCATCACCACTACACCATACAATACTGAGACAGTCTTCATCAACCATCACCATCACCACTACACCATACAACACTGAGACAGTCTTCATCAACCATCACCACTACACCATACAATACTGAGACAGTCTTCATCAACCATCACCACTACACCATACAATACTGAGACAGTCTTCATCAACCATCACCACTACACCATACAACACTGAGACAGTCTTCATCAACCATCACCACTACACCATACAATACTGAGACAGTCTTTATCAACCATCACCACTACACCATACAACACTGAGACAGTCTTCATCAACCATCACCATCACCACTACACCATACAAACACGGAGACAGTCTCATCACCATCACCATCACCACTACACATACAATACTGAGACATCAACACTGAGACAGTCTTCATCAACCATCACCATCACCACTACACCATACAATACTGAGACAGTCTTCATCAACCATCACCATCACCACTACACCATACAACACTGAGACAGTCTTCATCAACCATCACCACTACACCATACAACACTGAGACAGTCTTCATCAACCATCACCACTACACCATACAACACTGAGCCAGTCTTCATCAACCATCACCACCGCACCATACAATACTGAGACAGTCTTCATCAACCATCACCACTACACCATACAACACTGAGACAGCCACATTCACTGTATCAGCGGTTCATCATCGAAACATCATTGTGCAAATAATTTCAGATCTTATCCGTCTAACCATTAATAGGCAGTGAAGATGTAAATATTACCTGTAAAATCCCAGGTTTGGAACAAGACGTCAATACTGTAACCGTCTGGCAGCCACTTCAACGTCTCCTCTAACAGTATAGTTTCCACTTCAACGTCTCCTCTATCAAAACATGTATGATATTGAGGTGGCACATGTCCCCACAGTTTAAAAATGGGCATTGACCCTTCTGAAGACAGAACCATGTGGGACAACCGTTAAAGCTGGAATCTTTCATGGTGAAAACTGCCATATAACAACAAAGGAGTCACTCCAAACAACAAACATTGTTTTTTTGTACTGCAAAAAAAAAAGAAAATGTTTAACAAGCTGCTCATCGCCTTTTGAACGTTCCTCACCTTTCGTTTAGTCAAAAAAAAAAAAAAAAAAAAAAAAACATTAACAAAAAGGGTGAAAAGTGTTTCCCCTTGAAACCAGCTGAGATAGACAGTCTAATGTTGTTACTCACCAGGTCGTGGTTGGTAGAGTTGGAGTCTTCCTCAGGGAAAGGCTTGGACACCCCCAGCGCTATACAGTTAGCAAAGATGGCTATCAGGATGAAGATGTCAAAGGGTCTGGAGGAGAGTGGTCATGGAAACAACAACAACAACAACAACAACAACAACAATCCGTATTTAAAATAAAAACGGATGTCCTGACTCTCTGTGGTCACTAAAGATCTCATCCCACTGGGCACAAAAAGGTTGAAACAATGTTGTTTCAACGTAATTTTATCATCGTATTGCTATGTGGAAAATACATTGGATTTGAAAAAAAGTCATCAACGTAAACTCTTTTTTTCAACCACAGGATTATGTATAAATATGTTGAATTTAATACCTATCAAACAGCGTCAGACATTGAACGTTATATAATTTTATTCACCGTCAGAAATAAAAAAAACTATAGGCTGAGCATTACCTGCTACTGGAGAGTTGAACCATCTAAAGCTAATTAACTAACTAACTAACTAATGATGTGATGATGTGTTCTGACTCTATGTTGTGTTCTGACACTGTCTTGGTAAAATAGTGTTATTCTACCATTTATAATAATAATAATAATATCATTTATGTATTCAAATAGCTACAGTTTTCTTAAAAACTGAACATGTCTAATTCAGATAGAACCTCACGGCGGAAAACATATTGACATTTCAGAGCCACATGGTTCTATTTGCAATTGCACCCCCCTAAAATGTTTTTATTTACAAATACAGTATCTCAGGACTTTAGTTATTTTTAAGGTGAGGACCTAATGGGTTATGAAAGAAGAATTCACTACAAAATAGTTCTGAGATCTGGGATGTGAAAATGTTGATGCTCAATATCTCAGAACGATGCTTTGTCGCAGATAAAACCTTATGGTCCCAAGGTCAAGATTTGGGTGACAACTTAACAAAAAATCTGACATTGTTTTTCCGTTGGAATTTGGTTGTGCTTTTAAATGGTTGAAAGCATAGTGATATCACATTGGGAATTCAACAAACTTTTGGCTGTCTTTTTGAGTGGGTGAACATAGGTTGTAATCTCATTGATCAACAGCTCAACCAGAGGAGGCTGGTGGGAGGAGCTATAGGAGGACGGGCTCATTGTAATGGCTGGAATGGGATAAATAGAATGGAGTCAAACCATTACAATGAGCCCGTCCTCCTATAGCTATTCCCACCAGCCTCCTCTGGTTTTAACCACATATTACCCATCCCACTGGGCACACTACGTCATTTCAACGTGGATAATTGGGTAATATTTGGTTATTAACGTTAACCCCTGTGTCCAGTGTAAATACCATCATGGCCACCTAATCATCCCCAGCTTCCAATTGGCAACAACAACAACCATAACAATACGTTTACAACAACAACAACAGCAATACTACTACTACTACTACTACTAGTAGTACAACAACAACAACAACAACAACAACAACAATACTACTACTACTACTACTACTAGTACTACTACTACTACAACAACAACAACAACAACAACAACAATAACAACAACGACAACAACAACAACAACAATACTTACTGTATACTACTACTTCTGCTACTACAACAACAACAATAATACTTATACTACTACTACTACTACTAGTAATACTAGTAGTACTACTACAACAACAACAATACTTATACTATTACTATTACTATTACTACTACAACAACAAAAACAACAATACTTATACTACTACTGCTGATAGTAGAGTAGTGGCCTGAGGGAACACACTTGTGTTGTGAAAAGTGTTATGAAATGTAATATCATGTAATATTTTAAATTGTATATAACTGCCTTAATGTTGCTGGACCCCAGGAAGAGTAGCTGCTGCCTTGGCATTAACCAATGGGGATCCTTAGTAAATACAAATACTACAACAACAACAACAACAGCAATACTACTACAACAACAACAACACCAATACTTATACTACTACTACTACTCCTACTACTACTACTACTACTACAACAACAATACTACTACTACAACAACAACAATACTACTACTACTAGTACAACAACAACAACATCAATAACATCCACAACAATACGTATACTACAACAACAACAACAACAATCATTATACTACTACTAAAACAACAACAACAACAACAACAATGCATATGCTACTACTACAACAACAACAACAACAACAACAACAACAACAACAACAACAACACTTATACTACTAGTACTACTACCACTACAGGGTGGCTGGAGAAATGGAGGGGGTTCAGTGAATCATGATGGTGTGAGTAACCTTGCTTGATACCTGAAGACTTGTGTTAGCTCCCTGACAAACAATGGAAACACCCAGAAACCCTCATTATAATCTGGCAGCGTGATGTAATTTGAAAGTTTCACTTCAACAAAGTGCATTATAAAGAGGTGACTATTTCTGTATTGCTCGTTGTACTTAAGTCTAGTTAAATAAACCCCTTCATCACGTTCCACATTGTTGAAGGAAAGTTAGAAAATAAATCATGCTGACGGATTATAATAAGATTTCCACTGTGTGTAGATTCTTTACACATAGTCCTCTAGATCAGTGTTTCTCAACCTCTGATAAAGTCCTCATCATCACACTCTCCTCTCTCACACAGGCCTTTTCTCAGTTGGCGAAACTCTTTCCTCCACCCCTCTCTCCTCCGTCCTCTCTCCTCCATGACTCGGAAACCGATAAGTGTTTGAGTGGTCGATATGAGATGTCAATTAGTTTTAGATGTCGATTCGTTAAAGAGTGTCCTCCCCTCCTCGATAGCCACCTTTCATCTAGGATAGTCGTGTGTATGCTACCGGAGTCCTTCGCGGAAGAGTTTTGATATCTGCCACACCCCTTTTGAATCAGCTGTTGTTTTATCAGAGGAGAAAAGCTTGCACACGTTTAAAAACAATATGCTACTCATAATTTTATCTTTAAGATGTCTTGCACAAACTAACTCCATTAGTTTTTCTCACTTTACATATTTATATATTTATTTAGGGATCAACCTCTGTAAACTTAATTTGCCTGATGACGCGCAAGTGGAGAAGGAGTCTCATTTCATAAAAGCGCATTTTCGTACACGTTCCCTCTCCTCAGTGCCTCTCCTCGATTACCTTTGACCTTTTTCAAAAGGAGAGGATGAGGAGAAAGGAAGCAGGAGCAAATCTGAGAAAAGACCTCCCTGTCTGAGCTGAGTCTGTCTCTGTCTCTCTGTCTCTCTGTCTGTCCCTGTCTGAGCTGAGTCTGTCTCTGTCTCTCTGTCTCTCTGTCTGTCTCTGTCTGAACTGAGTCTGTCTCTGTCTCTCTGTCTCTCTGTCTGTCTCTGTCTGAACTGAGTCTGTCTCTGTCTCTCTGTCTCTCTGTCTGTCCCTGTCTGAGCTGAGTCTGTCTCTGTCTCTCTGTCTCTCTGTCTCTCTGTCTGTCCCTGTCTGAGCTGAGTCTGTCTCTGTCTCTCTGTCTCTCTGTCTGTCCCTGTCTGAACTGAGTCTGTCTCTGTCTCTCTGTCTCTCTGTCTGTCTCTGTCTCTGTCTGAGCTGAGTCTGTCTCTGTCTCTCTGTCTCTCTGTCTGTCTCTGTCTGAGCTGAGTCTGTCTCTGTCTCTCTGTCTCTCTGTCTGTCTCTGTCTGAGCTGAGTCTGTCTCTGTCTCTCTGTCTCTCTGTCTGTCCCTGTCTGAGCTGAGTCTGTCTCTGTCTCTCTGTCTCTCTGTCTGTCCCTGTCTGAGCTGAGTCTGTCTCTGTCTCTCTGTCTCTCTGTCTGTCCCTGTCTGAGCTGAGTCTGTCTCTGTATCTCTGTCTCTCTGTCTGTCTCTGTCTCTCTGTCTCTCTGTCTGTCCCTGTCTGAGCTGAGTCTGTCTCTGTCTCTCTGTCTCTCTGTCTGTCCCTGTCTGAGCTGAGTCTGTCTCTGTCTCTCTGTCTCTCTGTCTGTCCCTGTCTGAACTGAGTCTGTCTCTGTCTCTCTGTCTCTCTGTCTGTCCCTGTCTGAGCTGAGTCTGTCTCTGTCTCTCTGTCTCTCTGTCTGTCCCTGTCTGAGCTGAGTCTGTCTCTGTCTCTCTGTCTCTCTGTCTGTCCCTGTCTGAGCTGAGTCTGTCTCTTTCTCTCTGTCTCTCTGTCTGTCTCTGTCTGAGCTGAGTCTGTCTCTGTCTCTGTCTGAGCAAATCCACCTGAGAAAAGACCTCCCTGTCTGAACTGAGTCTGTCTCTGTCTCTCTGTCTCTCTGTCTGTCTCTGTCTGAGCTGAGTCTGTCTCTGTCTCTGTCTGAGCAAATCCACCTGAGAAAAGACCTCCCTCTCTGTCTCTCTGTATGTCTGTCTGTCTGAGCTGAGTCTCTCTCTCTCTCTCTGTCTCTCTCTCTGTCTCTCTCTCTCTGTCTCCCTCTGTCTCTCTCTCTCTCTCTGTCTCCCTCTGTCTCTCTCTCTGTCTCTCTCTCTCTCTCTCTCTGTCTCCCTCTGTCTCTCTCTCTGTCTCTCTCTCTCTCTGTCTCTCTCTCTGTCTCTCTCTCTCTGTCTCCCTCTGTCTGTCTGTCTGTCTGTCTGTCTGTCTGTCTGTCTGTCTGTCTGTCTGTCTGTCTGTCTGTCTGTCTGTCTGTCTGTCTGTCTGTCTGTCTGTCTGTCTCTCTCTCTCATCTCTCTGTCTCCCTCTGTCTCTCTCTCTCTGTCTGTCTGTCTCTCTCTCTCTCTCATCTCTCTGTCTCCCTCTCTCTCCCTCTCTCTCTACCTAACCAACCGGCCCCTCAGGTAGTTGTCTTCTCTATTTAGTCTGTTTAACTCGGACTGAACTTGAACTCACCTTTAGAATAATAATTGGTTTGAATCTGGGTCATCTGCATGTCACATGCCTGGTAACTCAGACTAGTATCATAGTAAATGTAAAGTATGATATGTTACGTTTGGTACGGTTACATAAGACATAAGGTTACTTAAGGCATAAACGAAAGGAGGGTAGTTGGTCGGGGTGGATGGGTGGGTGTATATAACGCAAACGTCTAGCAACACCAAGGGGTTGCGTGTTCTAATGTCATTACGGACCATTTTAGCTAATTAGCCATTTTGCAACTACCTACTACTTTTTAGCTACTTTGCAACTACTTAGCATGTTAGCAAACCTTTCCCCAAACACTAAAATTAACCCTTTTAGCTAACCCTTCCCCTAACCCTAACCCTAACCTTAACCATTTAACCTAATCCTAATCCTAACCCTAACCTTAACCCCTAAATTCTAGGCAAGCTAACGTTAGCCAGCTAGCTAATGTTACTGTTAGCCACCTAGCCACCCCTAGCTAACAACAAACTGGAATTCGTAACCTATCATACGAAATGGATTATGGACATCCACAAATTAATACATGCCATGCGAAATGTAATATATCATACTAAATGGAGTGCCCTGAGACCACGTTGGGTAACTTGGTCTACTTTTCTGTGAATTGTGTGTCTATTATGTAAGTTAGCTCTAGTGAGTGTCAATGTTCTCCCACTGGGCACACCACGTAATTTCAATGTGGAAATGTGGGTAATATTTGGTTGAGACGTTGATGAAGGATATTTCAACCTTTATTCACCCACTCAAAAAGACAGCCAGAGGATTGTTGAATACCTAATGTGTAATCACTATGCTTTCAACCATCTAAAAGCACAACCAAATTCCAATGGGAAAAAAAGGTCCGATTTTTGGTTTAGCTAAATCAAATCAAACTTTATTTAAAGTGCATTTAAAGTTTGATTTGATTTAGTCCTATTCTTTAACTTCAATTTTTGGTTGAGATGGAAGGGTTCGATTCCCACAGGGATATGAAAAAATAAATATTGTATGCACTAACTAACTGTAAGTCGCTCTGGATAAGAGCGTCTGCTAAATGACTAAAATGTAAATGTAATGTAAATGTAAATCCAACAAATCAATTATTCATTTGTATTATTCAACTGGAATTAAATCCAGACAAAGTCAGTGGCACAGATGGAACTATCCAAGCAGAAGATACAGTTGAAGTCAGAAGTTTACATACACCTTAGCCAAATACATTTCTCCTCCCTGAGCGGTATGACGGCTGCGTGGTCCCATGGTGTTTATACTTGCGTACTATTGTTTGTACAGATGAACGTGGTACCTTCAGGTGTTTGGAAAGGTCTTGGATGATTTCTTTTGATTTTCCCATGATGTCAAGCAAAGAGGCACTGAGTTTGAAGGTAGGCCTTGAAATACATCCACAGGTACACCTCCAATTGACTCAAATGATGTCAATTAGCCTATTAGAAGCTTCTAAAGCCATCATTTTCTGGAATTTTCCAAGCTGTTTAAAGGCACAGTCAACTTAGTGTATGTAAACTTCTGACCCACTGGAATTGTGATACAGTGAATTATAAGTGAAATAATCTGTCTGTAAATAATTGTTGGAAAAATTACTTGTGTCATGCACAAAGTAAATGTCCTAACCGACTTGCCAAAACTATAGTTTGCTAACAAGAAATGAAAAACGAGTTTTAATGACTCCAACCTAAGTGTATGTAAACTTCCGACTTCAACTGTACATCTCCTTCAAATGTTGATATTTGGTTGTGTTGACAACCAAATACAATTCAAAATCTAGTTTGTCTACACATGTATTATTTATATGTTGGATTCACGTCTCTATCTCAACCAAAAATCTACGTTTAAGAATACAACTAAATCTAATCTAATCAAACTTTAAATGCACTTGAAATAAAGTTTGATTTGATTCAGTCCTGTTCTTTAACTTTGATTTTTGGTTGAGATAGAGATGTGAATCCAACATATGAATGATTAACTTGTGGATTCAATTTGAAATCAACCAAAGCTTTAAACCCTAGGCCTATATGTATTGTTTATTTTTAGTTTAACTCTGGGTTAAATTGAAACAATAGCTGTTGATGACTTTGCAAATGCTTTATAGGCCTAAGTAGTATCATTGATGATATATGACTTATAGATTATGGTTACATTTCCTTTGCTCTGTTGAACCTACACTTTGGAATGAATTCAATAGCAACAGTGAATCCATTTAGTTATCAAGAGATCTCTCAATAATCATTCTCATGATAGCACGTTGGTAGTAGTCAGTGACAAATATTCAAAGCTAAGCTGGGCTTGGTTAGGACCCTGGATGGGAGACCAAAGGGGATCTGTAGATACATCAACTCTCCAGTAGGAGGTGCTGTCCAGCATATTGTTTTGTTTTTATAGTGGATATAATGTTGAAGATCTGACGTTGTTTTAAATGTACAAATTCAACATACTGTAATTTATACAAGGTTTGTCTATGTAGAAAATTGGTTAACCATGATGACGTAATCTTGTGGTTGAAATTTCACCCTCAAAACAACAGTTTACTTTGATTACTTTTTGCAAATCCAATGTATTTTAAACATAGATTCCATGTCGCAATACATTGGCAAATTACACTGAAACAACGCTGATTCAACCAGTTTGTTCCTTGTGGGCACACACACACACACACACACACACACACACACACACACACACACACACACACTACCTCTATACAGCGTGCAACACCAAGAGAATTTCATTGCTACCATTTTGTTGCAGGACAATAACGTTTTCTAATTTTGATTCTGATTTCACACGCACTCATTTTGCAACACGATAGGGCATGACGGAATGAGGATTAAGCGAAACCTGCTATTCCAAGTGGTACTGCAAACCCAATCAGCTATTCCAAGTGGTACCGCCAACCCAATCAGCTATTCCAAGTGGTACTGTCAACCCAATCGTAGTAGGTAAAGGATACTTCCACTCTACGATGGAGAGCGCGGCCCGGCGTATGGGGTTGTTGAGTTTCAGGCAGTAGAGCGCTCTGGGGGCTCTCTGGATCTTGTCAGACCCCTGGATCACTTTCTTATTATGATGGCTCTTCTTCCTCTGGGTCCCCGTGGAGCTGGTCGTGGAGTGGAGCGTGTCTGTCCTCGTCATCTTCGCTCCTCCGCCGTCATCCGCGCCATCCTCCGTCCACTCCGTGTCTCCTTTCTTCTCTTCTCCCTCCTCGCCCTCCTCTTCTCCCTCTCCTCCACCCTCCTCTCCTTCATCTGTGTTGGTGTACCCGTTCCGGCCATTGTCTGAGGAAGAGGAGGAAGCGGAGAGAGTTAGACTAACATCAGGAGAACTTGAGGACACCCCTCCATGGGTTAGGTTACTCCCAGTGGAGACACTCCAATGTAAAGAGTTATTAAATCAATAGTACCATGTCCCTCTCTGTTCTGTGTTTGTGTTTCTAAATCCACTGAAACTGCTAATCCAGTTAACCCCAACCTCAACCCTAAACCTAACCCTATCCCTAACCTTAACCCCAACCTCAACCCTAAACATAACCCTATCCCTATCCCTATCCCTATCCCTATCCCTATCCCTATCCCTATCCCTAACCCCAACCTCAACCCTAAACATAACCCTATCCCTAACCTTAACCTCAACCCTAAACATAACCCTATCCCTATCCCTATCCCTAACCTCAACCTCAACCCTAAACATAACCCTATCCCTAACCTTAACCTCAACCCTAAACATAACCCTATCCCTATCCCTATCCCTAACCCCAACCTCAAACCTAAACATAACCCTATCCCTAACCCTATCCCTATCCCTAACCCCAACCTCAACCCTAAACATAACCCTATCCCTATCCCTATCCCTAACCCCAACCTCAACCCTAAACATAACCCTATCCCTATCCCTATCCCTATCCCTAACCCCAACCTCAATCCTAAACCTAACCCTATCCCTATCCCTAACCCCAACCTCAACCCTAAACATAACCCTATCCCTATCCCTATCCCTATCCCTAACCTCAACCTCAACCCTAAACATAACCCTATCCCTAACCTTAACCTCAACCCTAAACATAACCCTATCCCTATCCCTATCCCTAACCTCAACCTCAACCCTAAACATAACCCTATCCCTAACCTTAACCTCAACCCTAAACATAACCCTATCCCTATCCCTAACCCCAACCTCAACCCTAAACATAACCCTATCCCTATCCCTATCCCTATCCCTAACCCCAACCTCAACCCTAAACATAACCCTATCCATAACCTTAACTTCAACCCTAAACATAACCCTATCCCTATCCCTATCCCTATCCCTATCCCTATCCCTAACCTCAACCTCAACCCTAAACATAACGCTATCACAACTTCTAAAAACACCTTTTGTTTAGATGTGTCTTGATCATGTTCAGTCAGTGGACATTGGACAATTGAAGAACTAGATAAAAAATATTATTGTAATGAGTTTGTGTTAGTCCAGTCATTTTTAAAAGAGCTTTAGTAGATGTTACATTGAAATCAAGACCATCTTCTGTTTTCCTCAGGACCTAACCTGACGGACCACATACTCATCTTATAGCAACATGTTGAACCTTGAGAACTTGAAGAACTCAGGACAGATAAATATATTTGTATGCTCTGAAGGATGGTGTGTCATTCAATGCATGAGACTCCACAGTAAGCAAGGCTATAAGCAGGGTTAGAATGGTAATACAGAGTAGTTAGTAGGTGAAAACAGCCATATTGTAGAGAACAGCTGTGACCTATTTCTCTGGAGCCGGTGCAGAACAGAGCAGAGAGGAGCAGCGAGGAGAAGAGAGGAGCAGAGAGGAGCAGAGAGGAACAGAGAAGAACAGAGAGGAACAGAGAGGAACAGAGAGGAACAGAGAGAAGAAAACAGAGAGGAGCAGAGAGGAACAGAGAGGAACAGAGAGGAGCAGAGAGGAACAGAGAGGAACAGAGAGGAACAGAGAGGAACAGAGAGGAGCAGAGAGGAACAGAGAGAAGAGAAGAACAGAGAGGAGCAGAGAGGAACAGAGAGGAACAGAGAGAAGAGAAGAACAGAGAGAAACAGAGAGGAACAGAGAGGAACAGCGAGGAGAGTAATTGTGGCCCATGGTTTATATAATAGTGCCTGTGGACTCAGTGCTCCCAACACACTCTGCTAACTGACACACTGCTAACTGACACACTGCTAACTGACACACAGCTAACTGACACACTGCTAACTGACACACTGCTAACTGACACACTGCTAACTGATACACTGCTAACTGACACACAGCTAACTGACACACTGCTAACTGACACACTGCTAACTGACACACAGCTAACTGACACACTGCTAACTGACACACTGCTAACTGACACACTGCTAACTGACACACAGCTAACTGACACACTGCTAACTGACACACTGCTAACTGACACACAGCTAACTGACACACACAGCTAACTGACACACTGCTAACTGACACACTGCTAACTGACACACTGCTAACTGACACACTGCTAACTGACACACTGCTAACTGACACACACAGCTAACTGACACACACTGTTAACTGACACAAACTGCTAACTGACACACACAGCTAACTGACACACTCTGTCAACTGACACACTGCTAACTGACACACACAGCTAACTGACACACTGTTAACTGACACAAACTGCTAACTGACACACACAGCTAACTGATACCCACTGTTAACTGACAACACTGCTAACTGACACACTGCTAACTGACACACTGCTAACTGACACACACTGTTAACTGACACACACTGTTAACTGACACACACAGCTAACTGACATACACTGCTAACTGACACACACAGCTAACTGACAGCACTGAGCAGATGGAGAGAGGGGGTGGATAGGGAGAGAGAGGGAGAAAGAAAGAGGGAGAGAGTCAGAGTGAGTGATGGAGAGAGAGAGTCAGAGTGAGTGGTGGAGAGAGAGAGTCAGAGTTCGTGAGGGAAAGAGAGTCAGAGTTTGTGAGGGAGGGAGAGAGAGAGAGAGTCCGAGTTTGTGAGAGAGAGCGAGAGTCAGAGTGAGTGAGGGAGGAAGAGAGTCAGAGTGAGTGTCAGAGAGTCAGAGTGTGTGAGGGAGGAAGAGAGTCAGAGTGAGTGTCAGAGAGTCAGAGTGCGTGAGGGAGGGAGAGAGTCAGAGTGAGTGAGGGAGGGAGGGAGAGAGAGAGAGGAACCTGCACTAATAGCTTATATTAATCATATTTTTATCATGGTGGTTCCTGGACTGCAGTGAGACTGAGGGAATCCTATCAGACACTGATAACACTGTGCTCAGTAAAACCTGTCGAGGAGCATTACATTGAGCCAAAAGCAGTAGGAGAAACTCCTGTAAGAAGTTCAAAAGGTATTAGGTTTAGTGCATCAGGACTAATAGGTGAGAAAGTTTCAATGGAAATGTGCTGCTCGTCTGGTAAGCTATTAACTGTGTTCATAGGAAGGATGTCAGAGTTGATGCTACTGGTGCTAAAAAGTATGTAATAGCTGTCACACAGGAACAATGTCCTTAGCTACAGCTCTATTTGTATTTGTATTTGTATTTATTATGGATCCCCATTAGTTCCTGCCAAGGCAGCAGCTACTCTTCCTGGGGTTTATTAAGGATCCCCATTAGTTCCTGCCAAGGCAGCAGCTACTCTTCCTGGGGTTTATTATGGATCCCCATTAGTTCCTGCCAAGGCAGCAGCTACTCTTCCTGGGGTTTATTATGGATCCCCATTAGTTCCTGCCAAGGCAGCAGCTACTCTTCCTGGGGTTTATTATGGATCCCCATTAGTTCCTGCCAAGGCAGCAGCTACTCTTCCTGGGGTTTATTATGGATCCCCATTAGTTCCTGCCAAGGCAGCAGCTACTCTTCCTGGGGTTTATTAAGGATCCCCATTAGTTCCTGCCAAGGCAGCAGCTACTCTTCCTGGGGTCCAGCAACATTAAGGCAGTTAACAATAATGTAGTCACTGGCTCAGAGCTAGCTAACCCTATTTCTATGGCTCAGAGCTAGCTAACCCTATTGCTATGGCTCAGAGCTAGCTAACCCTATTTCTATGGCTCAGAGCTAGCTAACTCTATTGCTATGGCTCAGAGCTAGCTAACCCTATTGCTATGGCTCAGAGCTAGCTAACCCTATTGCTATGGCTCAGAGCTAGCTAACCCTATTGCTATGGCTCAGAGCTAGCTAACCCTATTGCTATGGCTCAGAGCTAGCTAACCTTATTGCTATGGCTCAGAGCTAGCTAACCCTATTGCTATGCTCAGAGCTAGCTAACCCTATTTCTATGGCTCAGAGCTAGCTAACCCTATTTCTATGGCTCAGAGCTAGCTAACCCTATTTCTATGGCTCAGAGCTAGCTAACCCTATTTCCTGCACAGTGCACTACTTCTGAACACCAGTGCCCTTTTAAGACATAACCCTAACCCTGTTGAAGACATAACCCTAATCCTGTTGAAGACATAACCCTAACCCTGACCCTGACCCTAACCCTAACCCTGTTGAAGACATAACCCTAACCCTGTTGAAGATATAACCCTAACCCTAACCCTGTTGAAGACATAACCCTAACCCTGTTGAAGATATAACCCTAACCCTGTTGAAGACATAACACTAACCCTGTTGAAGACATAACCCTAACCCTAACACTGTTGAAGACATAACCCTAACCCTAACCCTGTTGAAGATATAACCCTAACACTGTTGAAGACATAACCCTAACCCTGTTGAAGACATAACCCTAACCCTGTTGAAGACATAGCCCTAACCCTAACCCAAACCATAGCAATAGTGTTAGCTAGCTCTGAGCCATTGCAATAGGGTTAGCTAGCTCTGAGCCATAGCAATAGTGTTAGCTAGCTCTGAGCCATTGCAATAGGGTTAGCTAGCTCTGAGCCATAGCAATAGGGTTAGCTAGCTCTGAGCCATAGCAATAGGGTTAGCTAGCTCTGAGCCATAGCAATAGGGTTAGCTAGCTCTGAGCCATGGCAATAGGGTTAGCTAGCTCTGAGCCATAGAAATAGGGTTAGCTAGCTCTGAGCCATAGCAATAGGGTTAGCTAGTTCTGAGCCATATAAATAGGGTTAGCTAGCTCTGAGCCATATAAATAGGGTTAGCTAGCTCTGAGCCATAGCAATAGGGTTAGCTAGCTCTGAGCCATAGCAATTGGGTTAACTAGCTCTGAGCCATATAAATAGGGTTAGCTAGCTCTGAGCCATAGCAATAGGGTTAGCTAGCTCTGAGCCATAGCAATTGGGTTAACTAGCTCTG